CCCTCTTCTCTGATCGTGCCCTCACTTGCCTTTGTTGAATAGCTTTGCAAAACCAAAGCCTGGCCCACGATTCCCTCCCCATCTCCAGTTCCCCTAATCGTAGCTTCTGGTATAAGGCACCACCCCACAACATCCCAAGATGAAGTCTTGATGTGCTGGAAAAGTCTAAAGGAAATATATAATTTTAAGTGCTACGAAGGTGATAGAATGTCAGAAGTACAAGAAATCAACCAGTAAATTGTGAGATTTCAGTCATGGTACGTTCTGTAACAGTATACAAATCATAAATTTTTCAAGAAGACAAAAAAAGAAAAACAAGGAAAAGCTATCAGTGCCATCTTGTGGAAAGACCTATACTAAAATGTCCAAGGTAATCTAGCCACACCCCAGATCTACACTCCACACAGATATGAATCCAATAGACAGCAGGATAGTTTCACTCTTTGTTTATAGCCAATGGTGCTGATTGGTAGAAGGTCCCTTCTGATTGCCTGCTTCCTGTGCCATGGTCAGTTATTAAATAATTTGTATATTATCCCTAACTATACAAATACCACATAAACCCCCATATCTCCAGCACCATACACACACAAAACCCACACCCAAACTCCTCTGCTTGGTTCCTCTACACAGCATGATTTTCCAAATGTGGAAGATTTTCATTGACCTATCACAACACGCCATCCCCAACAAACACACACACACTTAGACCACAATTGCTTATGGTATCTTTTTATTTTAAAAATAAACTTGATTTCATTTCACTTCTTGAGTTGATTAGAAATTATTTCTCTTCTTTCCTTCTATCTGAATATTCTCATCTGTATTAATTACCCATTGCTGCATAGAAAAATTACCCAAAATTTGATGGCTTAAAATAATAAACGTTTATTATCTCATAGTTTCTGTGGATAAGGAATTCAAGAGAGGCTTAGCTTGGTGGCACAGCGAATCCATGAGGTTATTGTCAAAATGTTGGGCAGGTCATCCAAAGTCTTGATGGAGCTGGAGGATCCACTTCCAAAATAGCTAGCTCTCTTACATGATGTTGGTATGAAGCCTCAGTTCCTCACCACATGGATCTCTCCATAAAGCTCCTTGACTGTCCTCACAACATGGCAACTGGCTTCTCTCAAGAAGGAGCAAGGCAAAAACCACAACGTCTTTTATGACTTAACCTAAGAAGTCACACACCATCATTTCCACAATATCCTACTGGTTACAAAAACTGACCCTCTCAATGTGGAGAAGGACTACACAAGGCATGAGATGACTCATTGGAGCCATCTTGAAGGTTGGCTACCACACCATCCCTTCTTAAATACAATTTCCAGATCATCAAGTCCCAGGTGTGAAATGTGTTTAGACAAAGGAAGATGAGAACATTTAAGACATTGAGAATTCTGATTTGCAGTTCAAGAGCCACGGGAACCAAACCCAAGCAATCTTTTGCCTTGGTGGCACACAGGGACCTACTTGAGGAAGGAATTCTCTGACTCTGGCTTTGCCTCTAACTGCCACTGGCATCAAGCCAGTCAAGTAACTGGGGCCCCAATATGAAAGAGAATGAGGTCAAAATATTCTTATCAACTGGAGAAGAGGGAGCTAGGATGCCCTAAAACTGTTCTGTTGAGCTTTATAATTAAAGTTACTTCCAGTATTTCACAATGGACAGAGAACAAAATGGAAGGAAGATCCCCGTCTTCATAAGACTTTTCTGGTGGTTCTAACCCAAGCTTATCTTCCCCTACTGACTTCTTTTGTGCTTGTTATTTTTACTGCACAATTAACTTTTAAATATATATTATCTGGTTGTCTTTGACGAGCAATTTAGTACTTCAGTATATGTTATGAGAACAATTACCTCTGAATCTATCCCCCCAAGTATGTTGTAAATTCCTTGAAGTCAGGGAAATTAAGCTTACTACTCAGCCACTGTCAGTGTCAACAGATTGTTCTCCAGAAATATGTCCCCCTCAACATACTCACATATACACACTCACATACACACACCCACATACACATGTGATCATAGACATGCACACAACAGGAGCAGAGCTCTATAAAGAGCATTTATCCCTTTATACAAAAATAGTAATTAAACTTAGCCAGGATACAGGGCTGGCCCCGTGGCCGAGTGGTTGAGTTCACGCGCTCCGCTTCAGCGGCCCGGGTTTTCACCGGTTCGAATCCTGGGCGCGGACACGGCACCACTCATCGAGCCATGCTGAGGCGGCATCCCACATGCCACAACTAGAAGGACCCACAACTAAAAAAATATACAACTATGTACCGGGGGGCTTTGGGAGAAAAAGGAAAAATTTTAAAAATCTAAAAAACAAAAAGGCAGGACAATAGTGACACAGTCATTCTTTCCTTAAAAACACAAATACAAACATGTAAAAAGTACACTTCAAGAAGGCACTACACAATACCCAACACAGTCCTCAAACTCATCCAATTAAAAAAAGACATAAACATGCCTTGTCACTTAGTCCTGTAGACTCACATACACTCCCAGAAATGTACATTCACACTATTGCCTAGGCATTCTACTAATTTATTTTTTCATTTATTGGTTCATTTAACATTTTTGAGCATCGTGTGCCAGGCTCCATATTAAATGTGTGGAATTCAAAGAGAAAATGATGTTGTCTTGGCTTCTACACAAACAGGTAACCCCAATCCAATGAAATAACTGCCATACTAGGAGTACATATTTATATAAGGTGAGATAGGAGTACAGAAAGAACCTAAATCTTCCTGAGGGTCAGGCAACACTTCACAGAAGAGAAAGGAAAACAAGATCAGGATTGCATATGGAGGGTGTGGAGGGGCACGTGCAGGGTGCTGACACTGTAGGGGTTCTAGCCAGGAAACCATCAGAGAGAGTTTTTTCCTTTCCATTGGAGGCTCCCTGGGCCCAAGACAGAAAATTAAATAGCACCTTTGACAATGGGACACAGTCCAAGGCAGGGTCTTTCCACGCAGGGTCTGTTGAAGAGAGGGGCAGAGCAGTAGAGAAAATAGAGGAATTCCTACAAAGGGAGCCAACTGGCCTTTCCAGAAGGAGGCCCTGCTGGGTTGATGGATGTACTTCTACTCCTGCAAAGATCCACACAAAGGGGAGAATCCCTATTAGGGGACTCAGGGGAGAAGAGAATCTCTGTCTTCCCCAGAAATGTCTTCCCTCTAGAGAAGAGGGGCTCTGGGCTGGATCTCAAGGATGCAGGGAAGGGACGTAGGTGGTAGGGAGAAATGTGGGCAGTTTTCCCTAATGAGTGGAGGGAGCAAAGAAAGGAGAACAAGGCAAAGGGACTAAGAAAAGTTCAGCCTGAAAGGAACAAGTGCTGGAGTCTGGTCTCCAGAGGCAGGGCAGCCAGAAACCCTGGGGAGCAATGGGATTGAGAGAAATTGGGTGGGGGTGAGGGGTGACTGGTGGCTGAGAGAGTAGCAGGGAAGGAGAGAAAGGAATGAATTGGGATGGGCTAGAAAGATTGCTAGGAAGTCGTGTGGGAAATGAGAGTGCAAACAGGAAGGGCTTAATCAGAGCTTTGACTGCAGGAAGGAGAGGAAAGGGTAGATTTGGCAGCTCCTGGGACCTGGAGAAAGTACCTGGAGGCAAGACCTCAGTGTTGTCTGGGTAAACGGTAAGTGCATTTCCACAGGGTCAGAGCAGACGTTGAACTCTGAGGGAAGAGAAATTCCTTCATTTTGCTGGAACCAGAGTTTTAAATGTGTGTGTCAGGGGCAGGTGGGGACAGAGGGAAGGAAGTACATCTTCATGGCTAAGTGCCCTGGGCTTGAAATCAGAGAGACCTTGGCTCAACCAGCCCAGCTACTTACTAGTTGTGCATCTTGGCCAAGTTAACTGACTTCTCTAAGCCTCTGATTACTCATGTTCAAAAGGAATACAAAAATGCCTTCCACATGTGGCTCTTCCAGAAAGCACTTGGCGCAGGGCCTGGTACATAGCAAATTCAATAGAGGTTAACTATGTTCATAATTACAATTAGCCTGTATCACTAGAAGCACATTGTTCAAATAAGGATATGGACTGGTCAGCTCACACACAGATGTAGGTCCCCACCTCCTAGGAATGACACTGGGCGGGGCGGGGGGGGGGGTGACTCAGAGAGCCTGGAAATCGTGAAATATGAAGAGAAATTAAGAAATTCTGCAATTGTTTAACCCAGATGATATTTGGGGACATGAGGATGGTTATGTGAAGAGTCAGTAAACTTCTTTTTAACCTTAGGAAACAATGCTGTGTTGTTCAAGATTCTGGAGCCAGGCTGCTTGGTTCCAAATCCCCAGGCCATCAGTCATCTCCTGGTCAAGTTCCTGAACTTCTCCAGATCTTCAGTTTTCTATCTATAAAATAGAGTTCATTAGATTACCTACCTCATAAGATTATTGTGGCAATTAAATGACTTAATACATGTAAAGTAGACTAGTTGTCTATCACGTGCAGCACATAGTAAACTCTCAACAAATGTTAATTCTTATGTTGTTGGTTATTATTCTTATAATTATACTATAACTACTATCCCTGGTAGGATTTCACGGCACCACATGGCAGCCCAATATTTTTTTAATAATTCCAGCAATGGAAAAATGAAAATAGTCCCTTCTACAACAGTGATTCCACCTTACCGGACGAGTTCAAAAAGTCACTGATAATGACTAGTCAGAGTCATTGTAGAGGAGATTCCTCCCCCAAGGCGGAGTGTATTTGGCATCTCTTAACTCCCTGGGCATCCAGTGTGAAGAAAGGAAGAGGAGGCCAGCCCCTTGGGCGGCAGGGCCAGTTGGCCAGTGATACAATAACTCCCACTGGCCGCCAGGGAGCAGCAGAGCCTGACCCCGGGTTGCTTCAGCCACAGAAAACAGTTCCCAATCCCTCCTAGGTTTTCCTTCTTGGCTGTTTGGAGCGCTCCACCAATCGCCGTGCGCACCGCTGCAGTAGTACCGCCCATCATTGATTACCCAACCAATCAGTGAGTGTCCTCCTTGGGGCCGGAGTCTCGGTCACTCAGAGCCCGCGTTGGGTTTCTAGCCCCGCCCCCCAGGCAGCTCTGCCAATCCCCCGCGGCGGAGCAGACGTCACCCTGGGCGGTGCCCCGGAGACCACGTGGTCCCAGGAAGCGCCCGCCCTAGGTAAGTGGGGGTTACCAGGCCTGGGGCGGGCGGGGGGACTAGTGGGCGGAGCGGCACGGCCCGCCTCGCTCCCGGTGACCCGCTGTCCTGTGCCCTCCCCCAGCCATGGGCGTGCAGCCCCCCAACTTCTCGTGGGTGCTCCCGGGCCGGCTGGCGGGGCTGGCGCTGCCCCGGCTCCCTGCCCATTACCAGTTCCTGCTGGACCTGGGCGTGCGGCACCTGGTGTCCCTGACGGAGCGCGGGCCCCCGCACAGCGACAGCTGCCCCGGCCTCACCTTGCACCGGCTGCGCATCCCAGACTTCTGCCCGCCGGCCCCCGAGCAGATCGACCGCTTCGTGCAAATCGTGGACGAGGCCAACGCCCGGGGAGAGGTCAGCGGGCGGGGTCAGCGCAGGAAGGGAGGGACCTGGAAGGGGTCAGCGGAGACACGGGCGGAGCTGGGGAAGTCAGAGCCGGGAGTAATTTATCTGGGCTCTGGGAGAGAGATTGGGGGAACACCGTAGGGCCAGGACTCTACCGGTGCCACCAGCACAGAAAACCAAGGGGAGAGGGCGGGCCAGTAAGTGGGTGGAGTAAAGAAGGGGCCCAACACTGTGAACTGGGCTTGAGGAGATGCTGCGAAGAACCAGCTAATATTGTGAGTTGCGAAGGAGAAAGGCTATACAGACTTGGGAGAGGTGGGGGTGAAGTCAGACGGAGGCTGTTGAGCAGTCTGCAGAGTAATGCTCTGTACAACATAACCGAGCCACATACGTCATTTTAAAGTTTCTAGCAGCTACATTTTAAAAAGGTGAAAAAGAAGCAGGAGGGGGCCCGCCCAGTGGCGCAGCAGTTAAGGGAGCACCTTCTGCTTCGGCCCAGGGTTCCCCGGTTCAGATCCCGGGTGTGGACATGGCACCGCTTGGCAAGCCATGCTGTGGTAGGCATCCCACATATAAAGTAGAGGAAGATGGGCACAGATGTTAGCTCAGGGCTGGTCTTCCTCAGCAAAAAGAGGAAGATTGGCAGCAGATGTTAGCTCAGGGCTAATCTTCCTCAAAAAAAAAAAAAAAAGAAGCAGGAGAAATTAGTTTTGATAATATAGTTTAACCCAGTAAGTCACAAATATTATCATTTCAACATATAAACCATATAAAATAAATTCTTAATGAGATTTTTTTATTCTTTCTTTTGTACTACATCTTCAAAACCTAGTTGCATTTGACATCACATCTCAGTTGGGACTAGCAGCATTTCAGATCCTTGGTAGCCGCACATGGCCAGTGGCTTCTGCACTGGACAGCGCAGGTCAAGGGTTGCGGGGAGGCAGAGCAGGAGCCCAGCAATTGAACCAGCCACCTCGGTGGTGATTGGTGACCTCCAAGCCTCACAGGGACAGCCCTCCCTTATTTTGGTGTCACTTCTTGCCCCTGATGACCTGAAATGTGCAGATCATGGGCCTGACCCAGAAGAAACAGCTGTCTGGCCCAAGTGAGGGCAGCAGAGTGTTGGGAGGGCATCGGATTCCACCCCATGAAGCTTCCCCTTCGCAGGCCGTGGGAGTGCACTGTGCCCTGGGCTTTGGCCGCACTGGCACCATGCTGGCCTGTTACCTGGTGAAGGAGCGGCGGCTGGCTGCAGGAGACGCCATCGCTGAAATCCGGCGCCTTCGACCCGGCTCCATCGAGACCTATGAGCAGGAGAAAGCCGTCTTCCAGTTCTACCAGCGAACTAAATAAGGGGCCTCAGCACCCTCTGCCAGGCCCCCACTGCCCTGTGCTGTGTGTTAGATGGGGCCAGAGACACAGAAGTGGACTAAAAGTGCTGAACCCTCCAGCTGCCAGCTGGCTCAAGAGACTGAAGTAGCCCTCCCTTGCAGGCGGGTCCTGTTTGAAGGCATGGCTGGAGGCCCCATTGATGTGGGGGGTCCCTCTGCTGCTTCCTTGAATAAATAACTTATAAAAACCAGATCACATTGCATAGCACTTTACACTTTACAAAGCACCTCCACACATCAACTTATTTGAGCCTGATAATAACTCTGTTATATAGGAAAGGCAGGTGGACCATCCCTATTTGGATGAGGTGGCTAGGGCTCAGAGAGGCCCAAGGTCACACTTCTAGAAAGTAGACAGATGGGTCAGGACTACAACACACATCTTCAGCCTCTTAAAAGTGCTGAAACTCTATGTATCTGTTCCCTGATGATATTTGATGTCCTCTTGGGAGCTGGTCAATAAAAAGTACACAAAGCCCCAGCAGCCCAGGGTCTCTGATACTCACAGGGCCCCTGTGGACACAACCCCTCAGTGTAGGCCCACATGCCCCACGTGCGTCATCCCCTTAGCCCTCTCAGGACAGAGAAGGCCCAGATGTTGTGCTCACAAATAACCACCATCTCCATCTCCCAAGGGCTGGATGCCTCTCACCAGCCTCGGGCTGCTCACCTCACCTGTGACCTCCAGCTCGGTGTGCTGCCCCACACCTCAGGTTAAGGAATGCTGGAACTGAGCCATTCTGGGTGGTTAAGCAGAGAGGATATTTGATGATTAAATGAAGAGATTGAGGGCTACGAATCTTGGCCATGTTTCCCAGATGTTACCTTCACCCCATGGGATCCCATCCTACCAGCACCACCACCACACTATCAGCTTTTAGAGGTAGGATGAATGGGATAGACCAGCCAAATGGACTCTTTTTGCTATAACTTCTACCTGAATTCCTGTCCTGTTTTCTGTTATGGCAGGCCAGGCTGGATAAGGTAGAAATTCATCTTGAAATATGTACTGAGTGCCTGTATGTACCAGGCTTTGTTAAATGTGGAGGGTACCCAGCGCATGAGCCATGATTCATAGCCTCCTTGAGGAGATGGGCACAGACAGAGTCCCACCCCATATAACGGGTCTATGACAGATTTGCATTCCAGATGCGGTGGAGACATAGAGGGAAGAGGCAACTGTTCCCCTGTAGACCCCATCCTTTTAGCCTAGAACACAGCCAGCTCTAAGCTACTTGCTCCTCACTACATCTTTCTCCCTTGCACTACTGCCCACCCAATTTAATCCTCCTCCAACACTTACACAAAAGGTATGTTAGCTGGTCTTGCCAATCTAGGAGCGACAGAGAGGCTGTAAGATGGCTTCCCCGCCTCACCACTTTTTCCCTCTGTGTCAAATCTGAGTAATGAGTTCCTTCTATTCCCTTGGTCTGCACCCAGCCTGCCCAGGTGAGGCCATCTCCCAAAGAGAAGCACCCACACTTCCAGGCATTCAGGCTGCAACAGGGAAACGAGAAATAACACAAAGAGGGGACACACTAAAACCCTTACCGTGCTGTCATCCAAATTTCCTCCACCCTGCCCCCGCTGCCTGCTCCTCCCACCACAGCATGGCCCATTCTGTTTCTTGGTGCAAACCAGAGCATCTTCCAAAGGGGTGTATGAGTGTGAGTGATGTGTGTGTGCGCACGTGAAGGCAGTGCGGCATGAAGGGTGTGAATGGTCCACTTCCTGGACCCCTTTCCTCCGCTTATGAGGATGGCAAGAGAGAAGTGGGAGGCTTGAAGCTGCACCCCAGAGTGTGTGTCTCTACTCGGATCCTGACCTGCTGGGATCGTACAACCAGTCCTCACACTTTCCGCCTCTGTTCCTGCCTCACTCCATCCTCCCCCCATCCTTTACACTACGGGAGAGGAATCCACCCTTCCCTTCCTCCCAAGGCTCCTCCGAAGGAGACAGAAATTTTTCTAAGCCCATTAAGGCCCTGTGCGCAGCCTCCATCCCCATAATTTAAGCAGGTCTCCTCTGCCTCAAGAGTTCCTTAGGGAAATAAACATATAATTATGTGCTTAAGGAAATTGGTTTTTAAATAAGTAAGAGTTGCCTTGAAATGAAAAACTCTGCCCTTATCCTCCACCTACCTCAGGAGGTTAGCCCGAGGCTCCCTTCAGGCTCATTCTCACCCTCAAATTTTTTGCCTTCTCATCACCGCCTCTCCTGTATATGGCCACCAATGAGGCATAACAGCCTAGCCCTGACCCTTCCCCCATTCTACCCTCCACTGAGATGATAGGTGAGGGGAACAAGCCACTTCCATCGACAAAAGAACCTCACATTGCCCCAGACCAGGGTTTCTCAACCTTGCACTACTGGCTCTTGGGGCTGGGTGAGTCTTCATTGTGGGGGCCGCCCTGTGCGCTGAGGGTGTTTAGCAGCATCCCTGACCTCTACCCACTAGATGCCAGCAGCATGCCACCCCCCAAAAAATGTGACAATCAAAAATGTCTCCAGACATTGCCAAATGTCCCTTGGAAGGACAAAATCGGCCCCAGCTGAGAACCACTGCATCAGACCAGCAAGCACCAGATGCAATCATAGGCTTTCATTTCCTGTGGGAGTAGAGGTGGCAACATACCCGGGAATTTCTCCTGTGGATGCACACATCTCAATGCGGGAGAAAGGGCCAACTCAAAAGTTACTGTTTTGAGCAGTGTCTGGCACCCACCCGCAGTCCTCCCCTTTTCCCAGGCTGGGTTTCCAAGATGGTGATAGACACCATTAACTTTCTCCATTCAGGAGGGTTTATTCTCAGTGAGTTGCTGGTGGGCATAAGTGCAGGAACTTCGACTTCTCACCCCCATGTTTTTAAAATTCCATTTATGTTTATTCTCTGGCATGTGATCCTAATTCTCTGCTAATGGAGGCTTTTCTATGTGGGAAACATCAGGACGAGAGGAACACCAGCCACACTCTTTGAGATTGTTCCTCCCCGGCCTGTTTCTCCTACCTCCACTTCACCCACAGCATGCCCCGACTGGGGTCCTTTTGCCCTTTGGGCTCTAGGTTCCATGACTGCCTGCCAGGCCATGTGCTTCCTGCTTCAGAGAGGACTAGAGGAGGGAACAGCGTGTATCTGTGACTGCCCCACACCTCCCTTGGAGCTGTGTTCATCATCGCCCTTAGAGCCATTCATAGCATGTCGGGACCGTCCCACAGAGCCGCTCATCACTGATCGTGCCCCGGCTAAGGAGGTCAGCTCCTCGGGCACACCCTCTCCTCCTGCCCCCCATCATCCCCCAGCTCAAGTCTTCCCAGGGCGGAGATGAACATGTCGCCTGGAGCGGGGATTTGATCCAGACCGTAAACCATTTCCCAGAATGAACAGCACTGGTTTGCCAACCCTCAAATCAAACCTTCGGCTGTCTGTATCTTGCCATTCTTTCTAAGAAGGAAAATAATGTGGTCTCACAGGATAGTTTTGTCACAAAACAACATCAGTTACCTCTAAGGCATGTCACACTTTGTAGTGACTGCACTTTACTTATACGATTATAATTGTCATATTTATGAAGCACCTACCATATAGCAACTATTTTACATACATTGCATTATATCATTTTATCCTTACAACCACTCTGCGAATTGGGTATTTTTCCCTTTTTATAGTTGAGGGAACTGAGGTTTAGAGATGAGTAACTTGCCCAATGCCTCACACTTGCTTCGAAGGAGCTGGGATCAAACCCAAGAGGTAACTCCAGACCCAGGCTCCTTTGACCAGACATCCCGCCTACCGAGGCTTCCCCCTGGTTCCAGCTACACAGTGGGGTCTGTCTTCATGATCAGACCTTGGCCTCGAGGGTCATCTTATCAGCACAGCCTCCAACATCTGCTCTTCATCCTCTTAGGAGGCCAGAGAACAACCTACACCCGACGCTGGAGCCCACAGCGCCTGAGTTGCTGGCTGCTCTGTAAAATGCAGCCTGAGCATTGAAGGCCAAAAGAGTGAAGCTCATTCATCAGGGCACTTCCGTCACATCACTGTTATCTAATTCAGAGTAGGCGATGTCCTCACCCAGAATGACAGTCCTGAGGCACATGTGACTAGCATGAGCTCTTGAAAATGTCTTTGTATGTCTGATGATTTATTAAAAACCCTAATATTCTCTCTGGTTTTATTGCTGTTATTTGAGCCCTTAATGCATACCAGGCACTATGCCAAGTTCTTTATAGCCATTATCTCATTTAGTCTTCAAAATTACCCTAGGAACAAGGTCTTATTCTAATGACCGGTGTGCAGATCAGTAAGTTGAGGCCCAGAGAGTTTAAGTAACACACCCAAAGTAACCTAGCTAGACCAGGATTCAAATCTGGGTTTGTCTAACTATAAACTGCCTTCCCTCTTGGGAGCAGAGAAAAGAGACCTTGTAGTAATTAGAAAATATATAACAGCATCTCGTATGTTCCCCAGAATCGAGGCACTTGGATGCACAGGGCCATCAGGGGCACCCTGTAGTCACACGGCTCCCCCATGCTGCTGCTCCAGGCTGTGGCAGCACTGCTCTGCCTCCGGAGTGCCAAGCTGCCAGCACAGTCATCACCCCTAACAAGCTTCTGCTTCAGCCTCCCGCACCGTCAAAAAATATAGTCCCCCGTTGATATAGAAATGAGTTACATAAGCACTTCTTCCATTACTTTTAAAATTTTCTCCAGCCATTATGAATTCAAGGCATGCTCTCAGAAGGCAGCGTGCTTGTCCAAGCAAGCAGAAATTCAAGAAACACTTTGGTGCACGTCCATGCCTGAAGTTGATGACTTATTTGCAACCTTGATAACTGAATCCTTTGTGCCAATAAATTGCTTAAATTGCTTCAACCACTCTCTCCTCCTATTTTTCCCTTGACTTATTCTGTCGCCATGGATATGTGATCATGAAACAAATTGGTGATGTCACCTCTGAATTTTCAATATGTAGGATTCAGTATGGCAAACAGTTCTGGGATTTTTCCCCCTAGCTTTTGTAATAAACGCACCACTGTTTCTTCTTTACCAATATATATTGAGCATCAACTCTGCTCCAAACCCAAAGTGGGCCATGAAGTAATAGGTGTAGATGTCCCTGCAGGTGACAGTGCTCACTTCCTTCAGTAGGCTTTATGTGCCCTTGAGCTCCCCCAACCCCACCCCCAAGCAAAT